CAGTTTTGTCTCGACCCCGAGCTGCCGGCAGAGCCCCGCTACGCCAGCTACACGCAGGGGCTTCCAAGCGGGGCAGGCCAAAAGGCTCATCATCCCGCGCACGGTGGGTTTACGTGCGAAGGAGCCACAGGGCGAAGGCACGAGCCTCCTGCTGCGTTGCTGCAGGCTTCGGAGCACGCCCGGCAGCAAGCGCTGCTTATGCAGCTGCCGCGCTTCGCCGGAACCTCGGACGGAGGAGCCGGAGATCCAGCACCAGGTCTGCCAGAGGAGGAAGGCCCCAGGAACCTCCCAACCACCCTGCCCGGAGAGGGACCACGCCGGTGGCCGGAGGAGGCTCTCGGGGGCTGAGGCTGTGGCTCCGGGAGGCAGCCCAGTGCATGCTCACTGCCGCCTTCCAGCCAGCCGGGCGGTTTGGAGAGCGCACCCCGGCTCCCCGTACTCACATTTTGTTGATGATCCTGATGAAGACGCTGCAGTCCTGGAGCTGTGACAGATCATCGAGGGGGTCGGTACAAACTTTTGCGCTGTTCACCTAGAAACGGGGCCAGACGGTCAGAAGGCAGAAGCCAACACCACGCCGTACCACCCGCCACCTCCCCGTCCTGGCAAGGGGACAGCGAGACCGGGCTGGGTGCGAGAGCAGCGCCAGCCCTTCCGACCACCCCTGCCCAGGCAAAAGCTGAACGCAATCCCCACGGCTCCACAGCCGGGCAGGCCGGCACGGCTCTCGTTTAATCACGCTGTGATGCTTTGCTCAGACACGGCGCTGCTTTGCGAGGCAGACCCAACAGCCCCTTTATGGTCCAGCCGCTGCTCGCTTCCCAAGCCTGCTGCCTGCTCCAGGCTCGGCTCCGGCTCCCGGGCAGTTTTCACGGCCGGACCAAGCTGTTCCGGCATTTCTGGTTACTCAACAGGAACGGTGAGCAAAGCTTCTCCTGCAAACACCCTCCTGCCCGGGAACCGCAGGGACTCGGCTGCCCCGGGACCTGCCCCAGCCACAATCCCTGCCTTAACCGG